GCCGCCACCACCACTGCGTGCGACGGGGCTCCCTCTCGGAGACGCCGCGCTTCGGAGGACGTGGGGCCGATGGGGGACGCTGTCTGTCTGGGGGAGAATTTTGGCGAATGCTTGCTCTGATCGGTAGTTTTCCGTGGTTTATCCCATTAACGACAGGCGAATGCCGGAGTAGTACCCTAACAAACGGGCCACGGACCGCGCGCGCTCTTTCTTTCCTCTTCCTTACCCTATCCTTCTTCTTACTTACATACACTTGCATTTACATGCCCTACACTACCACAATTTGCCGTTTTTCCCCAACTATAAAGTCATCACCCACTAGTGGGGCCCCGCCCCAGCCGGGAGATGCTCGAGGCTGTCGAGCGCCCGCGCGCTATCTTTCCTTCCCATTCCTTGCCCTATTCTCACCCCTTACTTACACACACTTGTACTTTCATGCACAACTTTACCACACTTGTCCGGAGACCGTTCGGAAGCTTAGAGCATGTCCCAGAACCCCGCTTCTGAGAGATACCTAGTAAGGGAAAAGTCCCCGCAATCCGACGTAGTGCGGTGCCTGCCAGCCGGGGAACATGACCACCATCTCCTGAGACGAGAACACTCACAACACTCGCGGGATTAATGACCTTTGCTGTTGATGAACCCGGAATCACTCATCTATCAAATCCGATTGGGAGGCGAAGGGAACCCTGTGCCGAACTCCCCTCCAATACATGAGAGAGAGGGGAGTTCGCACTACAATGCCCGTCGATGATGATTTCAAAACACCCATGTTTTTATAAAATCATCCATCAGTACTTTCATGCCGATGTTTTTTTACACTGGTGTTGGGTGTCGATTTTTTATGTGGTTGATGTTTTTCAAATGAAAAAAGTGTCATTGTATTATATTTCTATAATAATTTTCAGGTATCCATAAATTGAATATTCTGCAGACTGAAGTGGAAAACACAGTAGATAAAATCGATTTTTCGTGAATAAAGAAGGTTATATTATTTTTGAATTATCGAATCAAATAATCAAAGTTCAATTAATTGTACTGAAGATTTTTTGACTTTGCATTGTCATATAAATCTTAATTAAAAAATTAATAAACGAGGCCACTTTCAAATTAAATCCCCATTGCGCGTCTTTCAGGAGTTACCAGGTTCCATTGCAACAATGAGAACACGAATGAATACGGTGACACGGCCGTTTGAAATTTTCAGAATAATTTCTCATTGTTGGGCGGTATTTCTCGGTGAAGTGAACGATGTTTTGGATTGTCGAATCTAAATTGTTTGTTTATGTTTTAGCTTCTGATTTTGCGCCTAATGCGCTACGCTTGGTAACGAGTTTCACATGTGGAGCTAAAATGTGTTAGGATTGAAACTGCTGTAATATAATTGTACGGAACCGTTATTTTGACGAGAAAGTTTGTGGTATTTTAGTACCACTAGTTTTCCGAGTATTTAATCTGAAGTTTGAAGTGTTCGGAATTGATGCATCAGTAATAGGGACTCTTCTGTTTTCTTTCTGGAAACATACCGTATCAGGTCGACTGATGACAATTCTGTCTGTGAGAGACGTTCTTCCCGATACAAACCATAAGAATGATTTTCCAAAACACTCTATTGGTTATACAAGTGGCACTCGCACATCATTTATTAACTTAAGAACCCCTTCAGTTCTTGATGGATGATTTTTAGCTACTGCAACTGGCCTGTTTCTGAACTCTGATCCACATAGACGTGTAATTTACTGTATTGATCAATTTATTCACAAATATAAGGGTAGTGGTCATGGTCCACAATTGGATCTTTAAGTATATTCGTGTATTTTCTATAATTGCGTGTTGGAACCACTTAATATTTTATGGTGATTATGAATTCTTTTGTTTCAGAAAAGATCTGCCCCGAATCAACTAATAGTTCGACGCTTCTGTGTCGACTTGTGCCAGGCTGATCGCTTTCGAATGCCTTCCAGGTATGAGCAATGCCATCCACCCAGCGGTTTTCTGTTGGACTCAGTGCCGTAAGACTTGCTTCTGACTAACATAATTTTAAGAGAGCTCATTCATCCATTGTACAAACTGAAGCGT